CTCCTTCCCTCCCTCCCTCCTTCCCTCCCTCCCTCCTTCCCTTCCATTACACCTCATTTTTTCATGTTTTGGCCCTGTCATGAGTCATGCAAAAGAGGAGGGGGAGGGAGGGAGGGAGGGAGGGAGAGAGAGAAAGAGCTTTAGGGTAAATCTAGGTCGATATGACATTACAGGTCCAAGAAACAGATAAAGTAGAAATTTCCATGCACGTAGGAAGGAGGGGGGAGGAAGGGAAGGGAGGGGTTGGTATGGGGATTAGGAGGGAAGAAATGGCGATAGGGAGACAGGGAATAGGAATGGAGGTAGAGAATTAGGGATAGGAGACAGGGAAAGGGACTGGGGAGAGAGAACGAGAGATATGAGACAGGGAATGAGAATAGAGATAGAGTGTGAGGGATAGGAGACAGGGGAATGGGAGAGGAGATAGAGAATTAGGGATAGGAGACAGGGAAAGGGACTGGGGGAGAGAACGAGAGATATGAGACAATGAATGAGAATAGAGATAGAGGGTGAGGGATAGGAGACATGGGAATGGGACTGGAGATAGAGAATCAGGGATAGGAGACAGGGAAAGGGACTGGGGAGAGAGAACGAGAGATAGGAGACAGGGAATGGGAATGGAGATAGGGAAAAAGGGATAGGAGAAAGGGAATGGGACTGGAATAAGAGAATGAGGGATAGGAGACAGGAAAAGGGATTGGGGAGAGAGAACGAGAGATATGAGACACTGAATGAGAATGGAGATAGAGAGTGAGGGATAGGAGACAGGGAGTGGGACTGGAGATAGAGAAACAGGGATAGGAGACAAAGATATGAGGGAGGGGTAGAGGAAACAGGAAAGGGGGATAGGATACAAGCAGAAAAAGAGCAAGGAAATAGGTAGAGAGATAGGAAAAGGGGAGAGGAGGAGGAGATAGCAAAGGAGATAAGACATAGGAAAAGAAAGACAGTGGACGAGAAAGGAGGAAGAAGAGACGTATAGGAAGAAAAGAGAATAAATAAGAGATAAAAAATATAAGTGATAAGAGATAGAAAGAGGGGGAAAGGGATGGATACTGAATACGAATTAAAAAAAAAACAGAAGCTAAGTAATCAAGAAAAGGAAGAGAAAAGCCAGAAAAAGGATCATAGGATTAGGAAAAGTGTCCTTGCTTAGACACCGACGTATTGCATAAGTTGAATGGCTCTTCCGTCTCAGAAAAGAACGAGTTAAAGTCCACGACCTTTAAGATAATATTATAGACACAGCAGACGGCGAGGGTGAGTGAGTGTTGGTTAGACGCCTGAACATAATTCCAGGCACGTGAAGGGGGGGGGGTGATGCCATGCACAAGTCATGCACGTGGATAGATGTACAGTATACAATATAAATAGATATTTACACGCACATATACATATGTACATTGTCAGTGGCAGGATTATGTACACACAAGATACTGTATATGTGGGATTTTTTTTATATTTGTGGTGGGAAATTATTATTGTTTTGATATATAGTACTGTGATGTAAAATTATTTTTTTGATATAATATATATATATATATATATATATATATATATATATATATATATATATATATATATATGATTTTGATATACGTACAATTTTCACATCAGATATAAAATAGGGTCCATGACGTAACATTAAACGAATAAAAAAAATCAACGACACAGTTCGAAATAGTTGACCAATCCAATATGCTAATGAAGAATTGCGTTTGGTCATTCATCACAGGCTTATACGATAATATATTCATAATTAATCTAAATCAGCCTGTGAGGTCGCCATTTTTTTTTCTTTTCCCCCCTTTTTTCCCCTTTTTTCCCCTTACTCAGTCGAATTTCTGCTGATGAAGATGTCCGGTTTTCAAGACAATTTTAAGTTTCGCAATTCCCTCACAGAGAAAAAGGGGGGGGGGTGAGGGAAGTGAAGGGAGAGAAAGAAGTGGAGAGAGTAGGAAGGAGAAGAAGAGAGAAGGTGAGGGAGAAGGAGGGAGAGGGAGAAGGAAGGAGGAAAGGGAAAGGATGGATGGGGGAAAGGGAAGAGAAAGAGAGAAATAGAGAGAGAGAGAGAGAGAGAGAGAGAGAGAGAGAGAGAGAGAGAGAGAGAGAGAGAGAGAGAGAGAGAGAGAGAGAGAGAGAGATTGAGAGATTGAGAGAAGGAGGGGGGAGAGAAAAAAAGAGAAAAATTAAGAAAAAAAGAGAAAGAGAGAGAGAGAAAAAAGAGAGAAGGAGAGAAGGCGAGATAGAGAAAAGAGAGAGAGGCAAACAGACAGACAGGCAGAAACAGACACAGTACCAGATTAGAGACAGATTAACGAGTCAAATCCTGGAATGCCACATATATCCTCAATGCCACCCAAAGTTAAGAAGCACTGCGAATTTAACCACTGGATCGAACTCCTTTTGTCTCTGCTGACGTCACGCAACTCACACTTTGGTAGATCTGTGAAGGGAAACATACTGTAGCACAGTTTTATGCAAGAAATGTTTAGGAAAAATGAAATGTTCTCTTCGGTAAAGATATTTGCAATATTCAGATGGCTTTTCGCAAATAGACATGTGGCTGGTACGAAGAAAGTAACTTTATTGAATTACGGTAGCATGTAGAACATATGATTACAAATTTTAATGGTTTACTTATTAAATTAATTATATAATGAACAAGTTACTAAAAAGACAACTGTATAGTTAGCAATTCGCTCGTTCAGGCACAAAAGACTGAGCAGTTTGCCTATATATTTTTTTAAATAAATCTTACTTATAAATCAATAAATACAGAACAGTAAATTTATAAAATAACATGAATAACGAACGAACACTATAACCTGCTTCGCCTATCTGTTATGATGAAATATGTTGATAGCGGTGCTGATAACGATATAAAAATAATATTTACAAAGTGCAAACTATGTTATCACACTGATTTACAACGGATAAAACCAAATAAAATGTAAAATTACAAAACAGCTTAACATAACATAAGTTGGCAGTTCTAAACAGAAGAGATAGACAAACATACGGACAGACAGATAGACAAATAGACACACACAAACACGCACAGACACACGCAAAAACACACACGCACAGACACACACACACACACACACACACACACACACACACACACACACAAACACACAAACACACACGCACAAACACACAAACACACACGCACACGCACGCACGCACACGCACACACACACACACACACACACACACACACACACACACACACACACACACACACACACACACACACACACACACACACACACACACACACACACACAGAAACAGTTTTTTTTCTATATATATATAAGCGACCAACGTGAACAAAATGAAAGCTGTAAACATGCCACACACACACCCCAGCGCGGACGGGCGACTGACAGCCCTCTCACGCCTCATAAATCACAATAACTCATTAGATAAAGAAAACGCAATCACGAAGAAAAGAAAACGGAATCCATGACTCTCTCCCCTGCAGCCATTACCAAGCGGAAATGTTATCTTGCAAGATGAAATACGATCTTGTCCATAAATACGGGATTTATATGTGCGAGCTGGCTGTCCCCGAGCACAATATCAGAAGGAGAAGCAACGTTGTTCTATTGATTGTTTGCCCATAAGAGAG